TCGATCAATAATGTGATGGACGTATTTGCATTTGTCCTAGTGAAATTCTGACAGGGTTGTGTTTCGCGTGTTTCTTTAAAAGTATATCTGTGCTCATTTCTATTCGATACCATATCTCATTTCCTTATTTCACAAATTTGATTATCTGCGATTTTCTCTAAACAGTTTACCGATGAACAAACAGACTGCACCAAAAACAAATTGGAAGTCTACAGTGGATCCGCAGCCACAGGCGAACCAATTGCCACCATTTGTCAGCCAATATCATCTGCGCAAGTTGTCAAGTCAACTGAGAAAACGATGTTTGTAAAATTCACAGCGAAAGAAGTACCGAAAGGCAAAGTTTTCAAGGGGGCATATGAATCGAGTAATGAATGTTTCAATAATTTCTGTACTTCACAGCTGGGATGTTTTCCGCGATTAGCATTGTGCGCAATTTTTTAGGCGTGCATAGAATGACGTCACCTTATCCTTGTCAACGAAATCAAAAATCAGCCTTCCAGGTTTCATATCACTCTCTTTACGGGAAAAATCACTCAAGATCTTTATGCGTTTAGCATCTGACTTTTGGGTCTCACTGAACTAAAAGTGGATTTTTTGTTTTCAGCAAATTTGTATAACTTTTCTTCGTAAGATATGTTAGATTTTATTCATTGGTGCATCACATTCTGCTTTTTTCAGCGAATCAAGCTTCATCGGTTGCAATCGGATCTCTTGCTCTACTGATATGTTTCGCGGGATGTGTTTTCGTCAGTTCATGAAACGTGAAAGTTGTCTACATCGTTATATTCGATGCAAATCAAACATTTACCATTTAATTGTTAGGTAACGCATACTTGTTCATCTCCTCTTCAGTTGTACTCTAATAACGCATTCATTCTCATACAAATATAACCGTGCCGTCATGTAACCCAGTCATTGTTGCCCCCCCCTTGCAGAACTTGGATGTTCAGTTGGAGTTTCTGTGATCATCTTTTGGCCCGTTCAGATCCGACTCTCTTCAGAGTCAAAAGCTAAGGAATGCTTTATGCACCGACAGGGTGAAATTCCAGCAATTGACGATTTCTACGATTAATGTATAAAACCAATTAAGAACTGCAAAACAGGGCAATATAAGAAATTCTATGCTTTAGTAAATGATGAAAATTAGTTACAGCAAGAGTAGTTCCCTGAGGTGGATGAGAATAGTCTTACGATCAATCAATAAGAGTTAGATATGAAATTACACGGTTTCGATATGATGAAATATGCGTTGGAAGGAGTAGAAATTCGGAGCGAATTCCGGAATTCGACAGGACTTCACGATATCTCGGATTCGACGAGTGTTGCTTTTCGTGTACGTGGAGCCAATGTGTGCAATAGCTGAGCGGCACTTCTCTGGGACTCACATGGTGCCAAGTGTTCACCTAATTACGATTACTCCTTCAACGCGACCAAAGCAGATTTTGTGATCATTACTGCTGTTTTGTTTTCCCTTACGGATGCACTTTAGAAAATGGAGTCACGGAGGAGGCAAATTGGAGGCAAGCATAAAGTAAACTCTTGCCTGATTTAAATGCAAATAAGATATAATCCGAGGTCGACATTGCAAGTGCTGTAAACAAGGCCTGGGTCTGAATTTAGAACTCGGTTTCGGTTTTTTTATCTAGACGAAATGTGTTTCTGTTATCTGCACCCGTTCTGAATAAGACCAATTTTCCGCCCGCTTGAAATTTCGCATCTCTAAATTGACAGTTCGATCGCAGATGGAATTCACCGCACGTAGAACATCGATTACAGTTGTCGCTTGGAAGTTACTAACCGGAGTGTTTTATCTTCTCAATATTAGTATGCTGGTTTTTTTGTTCATGAATTGCTTTGAAATGCGGTAGCCGACTCCCGTGTTGTGTTGTCCGGAAAAAGAAATCATCGCAAAGGCTATACGAACTAAAAACTCACTATATAGCGCAAGTTTAACTGAATCGAAAATGTGTTTTGGCGTTCCGGTATCCCACCAATCTGGTTGGATGCCCATGATTAGTGGCAATCTTCGTCTGTCCTGACTTCCTGGAAGAAATGTCACGATCTGCGTGTACTTCCGTCAGATCTCTTTGCACAAACACCTGGCCTAATCTCCGTACACACAGAATCATTTCTGACATGAATTAGTATTCAGACCCATAATATGTCGTTTGCCGTCATAGGATAAGCATAACAACTGGCATCACGTTGCGGTCGGTAATAGGAAACGCCAGCCTCGGGTAGCTGTACAAATTGTTCACGGTAAAATACCAAAATGGAACTGATTGTTCGAAGAATCATTCAGTTGTGACTTTACGAGGACGAAAGAATTTTCAGCGAATGCAGTTCATCCTCAATGAACCTATGCGTTGTAAGAACTCAGATTCCCAGTAGTATACAGTTCCACATAATCCGCAGAACAAGGTTTTGATCAAGAAAGCTACATTCCAAATCGATTGAAGTCACATGTTAGCGAAGCAATGGGTGACCAATTACGATACGACATGATTTCGTTTGGATTGTATCTATACACATTAAATTCATATACAAAGCTTTGCATTGATTTTCAATCCTTCATTATGGACAATTTCACAGTTGCATTCAACATCAATTTCCGTTGGTTCCCCGTCCACCAGGAATTGAAACACTTGCTCGGTCCCATCAAATAATTCTCGAAGGTACTATATGAGGCTTTCGCATTGACTACAATCGGCGAGAACGAAAGTGGTTAAAAGGACAATCAGTTATTGAATCACCCGTGACTAGGAAATTGAATATATTGTCGGTCATCGGAAGATACGTTATCAAGCAAATGATGTTTGTATTCTAATACAACACATTCACATTCCACTGGTAACTAAGGTTTAATACGTCTGCGTTGGAAATCAAATATTGGTACCTACGTGGAATCACAGAATAGTGGTGCTTGAGCAACAAGACTGGTCACACAGTCCGCGAAGTTGATTTAGTTATCAGCACATTTTGAATCCTTTGCATGTCGTTACCAAATTTGTTGAAACAATAAATGCAAAACGTTTTCTTATCCAAAACGTTTTAATACCTATTAGAGTAAAACAACCAGAACAAGTTCGCGAGGATTCAGTAGACACTCGAAGTCGATTCTTCATTTCTCAGCCGAGATACTAGTTGAGATTCAGATTTACGTGACCCCATTCCAGGCACGACTAGGTACAGCTTCATGTCATCCAATCCCCATTCAGGAAGCCCGGCCAGTGGTACACCGGGCGAATATTACATTCGAGTTTGTACCTGTGATGCGTCCGCGTAACCGTTTACGTGATTGGACGCCGGCTATTCAGCCAACGACATTGCTTTTTACTTTCTATAAAACATGCTCCAATTCTATTAATAAACATGAGCATTTGCTGCTATCAATTTCTCGTGTATTTCATTGGTGTCCGCAGTTCGGGTTTGTGCCAATCCAGTTCTGAGCATTACAGTACAGGTTCTTGTATTCCGATACTCATAACTACTGTGATCAGCACAATTTGACGTAGCGCAATCGAGGTTACTGCCATTGAATAATTGATCCTCCACGGAAGCCCATCGAAAAACCACTCGGTCCTATATTTGACGCTGAGCGGCCGAGAGCTGTATTATCTAGTGATGAATTTAGCGTTCCCGAAAGTTGCTTTTGAATTGCTGTTCGAGAAGTTAAAATTCCTATTGCTGGACTACATTCTTCCACTGGATTTTCAGGCCACTGAACGGGCCAGATTCAACTCAGTGATCAGAACTGCAAACATGCCGTGCCATGAATTTATCCTTCAGTTGAATAAACAGGCGCCAAAATGCAACTATGATGATCGATTGTAAGAACAACTTTGTGATCATCTCATTGCTGGAATCAACGACATCTCATTACTACGTAAAATGTTGGAAAAGAAACACATCACGTTTGCCGAGGCTCGAAAGATCTGTGAGCAAAATGAATATTTGTGTGCTGCACAAATACGGATACTCCTGTGTTATTCCATCGGCAATCATCAAACCAGCACCCAGTGTTCATAATATACTCCTGGCTCCTCAAGTATACCGTTTAAGCCGAACACAACCAACCAACCGCTGCTTTTCATGTGGTGAATGCCATCTTCTTTCGACTTGTCGGTTCCGTAACGCCACTTTCAATGCACGCAGTAAGTTGGGCCATATCCGCAAGGTGTGCCAAATGCCCAAGTGCAACCTCATCGATTCCCATATCCCAACATCAGATGAGAATTCAAGCCTAATCTACAAGCTGCAAACCACTGAACCCAACAATCCGTTCGTGTTCGCCCCACTGATGTTCGAGACTGGTGTGGAGCATCGATTCATCATGGACAAAGGATGCAGCGAATCTATCCTACCAAAATCAGCACTCATTGCCATTTGTAGCAATTCTGTTCTAGTCCCAATTTCAGTGCTCATTCACGAGGTTACCGGCCATCAATTGCAATTACTTGGCGAAACAATATTGTGCGTTCAATCTGAGTCCGGTGTGTATATCCCGATACGATTCCTGGTATCAGCCCACAGTCCTCCCATTCTGGGCCTGCGAGCCATGCAGCTACTACCAGGGTCTGTCACACTACACACGAACAACGATAAGCCAATCACCTCACATCCTCAACATTTGATTGTACATTGTTCCGGTAACCTTAGTGGCAGGAAGGTACCGTCGGTAAAGTTGGAAAAAGACGGTGAATCTGTTTTTCTAAAACGACGTGTTCATCCACACGGTCAAAGGGAAGGTGTCCTGAAAGCGTTACAGAAAGTGGAACAGGATGGTGTGATAACCAAAGTTGAATCCAGTGCCTGAGCGACCCCGATCGTCGTGGCGATGAGAAGTGATGGTATGACACCACGGATCTGTGGAGACTATCGACTGACGTTGAATCCCAGATTGCGGAGATGTGCAGCAATCACAAAGGATTTCATGAAGTCATTGTATGGTTGCCAGTATTTTTCCAAGATCGATTTGGCGGACGCATACCTACAGATTCCACTCAATGTCGAATCTCGCTACTTGACAACCATCAACACGTCGTGGGGAATGTACCAGTATGATATTCTCCTGTTCGGATTGCATGTGTCGTCTGGCTTCTTTCAATCGGCAATAGATAGTGTAATAAAAGGACTCCACGTTGTGCTTGCATATCAAGATGACGTCCTTATTTTTGGTCTTAATAAGCAAGAACACGACGCCCGTCTTACGCAGCTGCTGGAACGATCCGTCCCCAAGAACGTGGCTATCGAGCTGTTCAAATGTGTGCTTGGTGTGAGTGAGTTGGAGTTTCCGGGATTCACAGTTGATTCCCGTGGATACCGTCTCTATCCGACACGTTTCAAACCGTTGACTAACGTCAAATCTTCAAAGGATAAAACACATTTGAGATCCGTGATGGAATGCCTACAGTACTATACCCGATTTATCCCAAACCTTGTTACAAGGTCGCAGCCGCCTTTCCGTTTTCAATGTTCAGATGATTGGGATTGGTCGGTGGAGTGTGAAGAAATCTTACGTGGTTTAATTCTCTGCGTTACGGATCGTCCTGTTTTGGCCCCGTTTTCACTATCAAAACCTACCATATTAATCGCCGATGCATCCGACGTCTGAATCGGTGCTGTATTTGAACCAGCAGGGTTCATACTGATCTGCATTTAACGTCTACTTAATGCAGCTGAAAAGGGATACTCGCAGACTCAAAAAGAAGCGTTGGCCGTATTTTGCGCTGTTCGGCGATTGCACAAGTAACTTTTTGGTTTGCGGTTCAT